TCCATTCACATATCATGATGTAACTAACAGAAATGGAAAGTACCTCGTAGAATTATTATCTGAGTACAGTCTAATAGCAGCTAACACTCAGTTTAGGAAACGACCAGGGAAATTGTGGACCTTCATGGGTAGCACAGGATCGTTGCGGCAACTCGATTACATATTAGTGCGCCGAAAGTGGAGGAACAGCGTCCAGAATGCTGAAGCTTACAACACCTTCAGCACAGTGGGATCTGACCATCGGGTAGTTTGTGCTAAAATCAAGCTTAGTCTTCAGCCAAGAAGATGAAATATGACTGGAAGCAGTTTTCCACTGACCCAGACCTACAGTGGAAATACACAGTCGCTGTCAAGAATAGATACGACGTATTGAGTGATGAAGGTAATGGGGTTAAGTATGAAAAGTTTGTTAAAGCAAACAGACAAGCTATGGAAGAATGCCTGCCTAAGAAAACAAAAGCTAGGAAATCCCTCCGATCATCAAACGCACAAGTGGTATCAGCCCGCCAGGAAGCACAGGCGGCACAGAGTCTGTACGAATGCACCAACACCGAGGAAGATAAAGAAGCTTGGTCTCAAGCCCTGAGTAATCTGTATAAAGTGTATGATCAAGTGAGGGAAGTGGAATTAGAGACACAAATACGAACCATCGAAGCCTCTCATGAAGCCCAGAAATATGGTGAGGCATGGAAGGCAGTTAATGAGATTACTGGAAGGAAAAGAGCTAAAGAAGGTCAAGTAGAGGGATTAAGCCCTGAGGAACGAGTGATCACATGGTTCACCCACTTTAAGAAACTCCTGGGTAATCCCCCAGTGGTAGAAGATCTGGACCAAGAAGTTCCAAACATCCTTGAGGACCTTGATATCAATGACGGCCTGTTCACTATAGAAGAGCTCAAGAAAGTGAAATCTTCATTAAAAATCGGGAAAGCAGCTGGCCCGGATGCAATACCACCTGAAGTATTAAAGTTATGTGACTTTGACAACATATGTCTAGACTTCTGCAATCAAGCTCTGATAAAAAATGAGAAACCTGATCTGTGGTCCTATATGAACATCATCCCTGTACCTAAATCTGGGGACTTGTCAAAGACTGATAATTACAGGGGTATCAGCCTGATTTGCATCATAGCCAAGATGTATAATCCCCTGATTTTAAACCGAATCAGGAGTGTAATTGACATCCGACTCAGAGTGAACCAGAACGGTTTCCGGCCCAAAAGATCTACAGTGGCCCAAATATTAACACTCAGAAGAATAATCGAGGGAGTTAAAGCAAATAACATTGAAGCTGTCATGACTTTTATTGACTTCAAGAAGGCATTCGACTCAATTCATCGGGGTAAAATGATGCGTATTCTTAAAGCCTATGGGATTCCACCTAACCTGTTGCAAGCTATAGAGATGATGTATACGAATACAAAGGCCAAAGTGGTTTCTCCAGATGGAGAAACAGAGATGTTCGACATCACAACCGGTGTACTGCAGGGCGACACATTAGCTCCTTTCCTGTTTATAATCGTGCTTGACTATGCTATGAGTAAAGCTATGGCTGGGAAAGAAGAAGAGTTGGGATTTACCATCACCCCTCGAAGATCAAGAAGACACCCCAAAGTAGTTCTTGCTGACTTAGACTTCGCAGACGACATAGCACTACTGTCGGATGAAATAGCTCAAGCTCAGGAATTACTGCTAACAGTTGAAAAAGAGTGCAAGAAAGTTGGCCTGGTACTGAATGCTAAGAAAACAAAATCAGTTGCTTATAACATTGATGATCGAACACCATTACATACATTTGATGGTACTTATCTGGAATGGAAGGATGACTTCAAATATTTAGGGTCATGGGTTGATAACTCAGAAAAAGACATCAGCATAAGGAAAGCGCAGGCTTGGAGAGCTTTGAATGGTATGACGAAAATATGGAAGTCCAATATGAGTAAAGATTTGAAAATCAGATTCTTCATAGCCACCATCGAATCAATCTTACTTTATGGGTGCGAGAGCTGGGCTCTGTCAAAAGCACAAGAAAAGTCGTTGGATGGAACATACACTAGGATGCTGCGAAAAGCTTTAAACATCCACTGGAGCAGCCACATACCAATCCAACAACTGTACGGAGATCTACCAGCAGTCAGCAACAAAATCGCCTCTCGTAGGCTACAACTTGCGGGACACTGTTATCGCCATCCAGAGCTAAGTACCCAGAAATTAGTCCTATCGGAGCCCACACATGGCCATCGCGGGAGAGGAAGACCGAATACTACTTATATTGACACTCTTAAGAGGGATACTGGTGCATCTGAAGCAAGTGAGATTGCTACACTGATGGCTGATAAGAGGCTGTGGAAAGATCTAGTGGTTGCCCGCCTTCGGGCGACCAGGTGAGTGAGTGAGTGACATTTCCTTCCGGACCGTACCGCCGACGGAGATTTGTTGTTTACATTCTCAAGTAATTTTTTTTGACTTCTGAAGAAATGTTGCGTCATATTAAAATTTGGCTCGCGCACGAAGACTTATCGCGATCTTGTCGCTAGCTCGGCCGTCTCGCTGCCCTAAAAGCTCGTTCCGCTTGCTTTTAAACAGCTTTTCTACTGTGAAACTCGTGTCAGAGATCAATTTGTGGCAAATCCAAGTCCAGTAATATTTGATTGCGTTCTAGGCTCAGAAGTTCGAAAGATATGATTCAAAATGCAATCTCAACGAGACGAAGCCTCGCGAAGGTTATTCAAGCATCATATTGTGATTTCATTGCACTCGTTTCTCTAAACATGTAATGCCCGTTTGTTTGATTTTGTCGGCCGTAGGGAAGTTTATTAAAAAGTTTACTAACACGTCGTTGCAAACTGTGCTTGACGGAGTTTAATTCCACAAGATCTCCTCTGTCACATCCATGTCTTGATGGTTTCGTTCTTACATAGTGTTTATTGTTGCTGTTCTATTTCTGCGTATTCCTATCGCGGTTATCTGAGCTTGTATGGAAGCTAGCGGAAGAAATAAACCTTAAACTGGCATTAAAGCGCTTCCCTTTTCGTGGTCCTCCAGCCAACAGCAATGAAAGTAACGTCAAAAAATCCCGATTTCGCCCAAATCGAAACTTACCGGAAATAATATATAACTGATCTGCAATTCTGAGAACTTTCAGTGTAGTATCGAACTCGGCCAAGTGCGATGCAAACGGATTTTTCATCGTTTCGCGATATTCCGTCAGAAAGTCAAAGTTCGGCACATGCGCAGTAACAGGATACTGTTCCTCTAGAGTCCCCCTCAATTGTTGGAGCTACATTCAGGTGCCATTACATCACATTTCGGCCGAGATTAAAGGCTCATGTACATGGGTTATTATAGAGTCAACAATACAAACCTTTGCCAGACGGTGAAAGTGTCCAGCCATTACCTTTACTGATCCACGAACAAAGGTCAGATGTGAAGCTGCAACTTTCAACTAGGATAGCTAATTAAAAGAAGACAAGTGGAATCTTTTACTGGATAATAAATACTTCAAATAAACAAGAATATTTTTTACCTCGGCGTGAATTGACATACCTGAGATATGAACTTCGTTAATTTCCCTTGAAACCTCTGTTGTATATGACAAGGAATCGACCAGGTTGTACATTACCTAACATCCGACGATACGTAGTGTCATTTGTAAGGAAAATGCTTGGTAAAAACATAATCATTTAATTATAAAATAAATACGAGAAATTCAAACTGCTTACATTAATTTGGTATGTTCCTTCCTGCTGAAAGGTGTCGAAACTAGTGTTGAAATAGCGCTCTTGACAATCCATCGCTAAACCATCATGAACTAAAATCCTTTGCGCACCAAATCTTAAATGTAAGCGAGTGGGACATGCAGAGCAGTGTAATCCACGACAGCAATATTTGTAATAAGCTATGGTTGAAGAAGAGAAAAGGACTTGACAATCTAAACCGGTTAATCAAGATAAAGCAGGCTTATTGTCTGGAAATTATATTCATTACAAAAATTTTTGATATTCTTTAAATTTATAGTTTTTAGCACTATGATACCTTTGGAGTTCAAATTATGGTTAATGATTTTCCACCAATAAAAATAAAATTTTTGCTAATAGAACAAATATAACAGAAATTAACAAGAAGATTTAGTCACTCTTTTCACATATTATACGAGTTATTTCCGATAGGCAAATCAAGCTACCTAAAATACCTTGAATAAGAAGTTTTTCACCAGTCTTGAGGGTGAACTTTTTAGGAACAGACGTTATGTTGAAGTTTATATATCCAACACCTGTAGGAATTCCAAATTATACCGACAATAAGACAGATTTTGAATCCTTCATTATCTGCATAGAAGGAAAATCGATGTTTTCCAAATAAGGATTTCCGTCAAGACAACTATTAATCGGATCGGTAAGACAAAGTGTTCAGAGCCGACGTGAATAATTGAAAACTTGTCGATGGGTGGCATTTACGTTGATTTATTAACCTTTTTTGGCAAAATCGCGTTGGATAATAGGATTACGTAGTCCCTTCACACCCGTGAATCACCCGCAACAGCCTGTGCAGATTCATGTCCCTTGCACCACTTGTCATGTTAAGGCCATAAACAACTTTGACAACTAATTTGTGAAGGGGAAAGTGATCTTTCAAACCATACCAGAATAAGCAAGTTTCAGTCAAACTAGCCACAAAGGTGACCGGAAATTCTCAACGCAAACGTTGTTCTTAATTTACTTTCAAGAACTTTACGATCCTCGAAATTTTTACGGAACCTTTCTGGCTAAAAGACGCTGATAGTACATGCCCAACAAAAGGAAAATCCGGGGAAGAAAAAACAAAAAAAAAGGGTAGGGAGAGAAAGCGAGTGGTGAAAGTCTATGGAGAAAGGGCAGGCGTCAGTAAATAGCAAGGAGTCTTCGCTTGAGAAAAACAATTTGTTGGAAAACATGTTCAGACACAGAAAGTTTTAACGCTTACGAAGGATGTCGTCGTCCAGTAGCGTCAGCTACATGCAATTATTTACCTGGCTTCACCCAAAATAAGTGAGCCGCAGTTATTGGGCCTTCGTATGCCCCATTTGGTAGCTTCATTCCTAAGGAGGCACAATCACTTCCTCCAGATTGTTTCATTAGAAGCTCCACAGAGTACAACTGGCATTTCTTTAACCAGATTTCTTTGGATGCCTGAAGAGAGGGAAATCTAAAGAAACGTACACAAAAAAGGGTACGGATGATAATTTTACTAATAGAAAAATTAATAAAAACATGCATGCATACACACATAGAACGACACACTGTTTGACTTTTCATAGCGAAAGTTCATTCTCATAAGAATGATGGTTTTAGGATATCTAGGAAAAACCATTTGTCCTAAGGAACTAAGTTCAAACGTTAATTAGTGTGTTTTGTTAAGGCAAAGCAAATAAAATGTTTAGTCTGGTCTTTCCCGCGGTTAGTGATTTATAAGCTGTATTATCGCTAATTTTCAAAAAGTAAAACCAAAATTTGATTCGTTTTAATTCAGCCAAAGACGGATTTTTTTTTTATGCTCAATAGATAAACACCGTTACACGGATCGCAGTATAAAGGGGATAAAGGGCTTTACGACGAAGAGCCGTTTAGTTTTCAGGGGGAACATATTAACCTTTTTATCAAATGACAATGTATTCTTACTTGTCCCTTTGATTGTGGTCCGTCCGAAAGTCCAGTTTTATCAGGAGTAGTTTGTCGGATGCTTTGTCGTCCTTTATTTTTTCTACGAGCTCTACCCTCTCTGGTTGTAGCCAAAGCTCGCAATTGTCATCGCGTGCGACGAAGAAGGTGTAGTTACCGCTTTCAGGTACCTTACGCGAGGCAAAAAGAAAAATAAAATAAGTGACATGAGTGGTATGCGTTACTACCTGTCACCGAATGCTCAAGGGATGTCAGAAACGGGAATATTTTACATTGAAAAGGAAATATTAAAAGGAAAGAGATATTTGGGTCGACGAAAAAAAGATCGAATCAGAAATTGAAAAAGATGCGTGCAATCCTTTAACCCTCGGACGTACAAGGGGTAAGGTTTTTCTGAGTTTTTTCCTAGAGGATAAAACATCAGTACCTGATGTTTCCAGTAGTTGTTTGTTCATCCCTCGCGCACATTTTGAGACAGGTTTAGTGATGGTCAGTTGCTATGGTTACGAGATATGACGTCATAAATAAAGGTGCTTAAGCCATTTTTGGGTGAAAATACATGTTTTTTCAACTTCTTTCAACAAGAAAAGTAAATCTTTTGGCTAAAATCATGCAAAATGCTTATTTATGTGTTATTTTTCATGTAAAACTAAAGAAATTACCATTCCTCCTTTTTAAACTGATTTCTAATTCTTGGTTAAATCCAAGATGGCGACCACTGTTGGTGACGTCACAGGCTTCCAGCGGCTCCTTCACCCATAAAATATACCTCATCTTGTTAAAAATATCAAAGGCTTTCCACTAAAGGTAAAATCGTTTCGAAATACTGCAATATATCAAAAACTCCGGGTACGTCCGAGGGTTAAGGAGGATTCAAGGTCGAAAGTCAGCACCTCTTTTTGTACAACATCTAGGTTCTTATTTTTGAGCATAATATGTGACCAGATTTTATAGAAAAAAATTATATTAGAACTATGTACCTGCAAATACCCTGTTAGACGTTGTCCGTAATTTGTATGGAAATTGAAGGGAGAGTCAAACTGTCGGAGAATGTTCACAACATCTGGATCAGTGCTAGGAAGCCTGTTGTGTGCCCGCAAACTCGTTATTGTACTAGAAGGAATATTGTACCAAAGTTCTTGAAGAACGCCATGAAGACTCTTTTCGCTTTCTGTGTATTAATAATGGTCGAATATCTTGTAAATACCAAGAGAATAAAAAACGTGCTTTTCAGAAGCAATGCTCATAAAAAAAAGTCGCAATTTTTCCTGTGCGCATCATTTCTTCTGTTCACATCAGTGTTGAACACTCTCTCTTGCGCGCTCCAAAGTCAACATCAAAATCTCAAGGAGCAAGGATGGTATAGTTGGCTAGTGCGCGGCCTTCAGTGCGCGAGGTCCCGAGTTGGATCCCTGGTGACATCACATCCTTGTTTTGAGTTCAACTTCTCCCCTTTCTGTGTAGCTTTGACTAGCTTTAAATACCCTTAAAACGGAGCATTGATGGAGAGAGGGGGGCTGAAAATGAGCGCACCATCGAGCTCAAATTTATCAGTTATTACTTTCACCAGTTATCGACGTAAAATATGGTTGCTTTACCTTTTTTTGCATAACATGAGTGCCAGCGTGTCCAAACAATGAGAGTGTGTCAAATTTGCAACGTGGAGGTCTTTTTAAACAAATGTTCCTTTGGATTTGGTTTTCAATATGATGAATGAAAAACAAGTATCTTTATTGAGGAATTAAGACCATAATATAATCTTAATTATCAATGCGAATGAAGCAAAAAACGTTTACATTTCTTACCTATTGCCGTTACCATCACCTCACACAGGCTTAGTTCGCCCACACCGTCTTCATAAATAGTTACATTTGAAGCAGAAATCGACGGTTCACAGATCATCAGTGTTTTTTGTCTGTCCTTCCAGGAGTAAACTTTACAGTTTGCTTTTACGGTTTCTGAATTGTTGCTTAAAATGAGATTATGTTTGGTCATTTCTGCAAGGCAGCACCCTGGCCTATTAATGATCCAGATTTTGCTGATAAATGCTGGTCTTTTCAAAGTTACACTCCACCAGACTGGCTGACCCTGTGGTAAAGAAAGTTACAACAAGATCGTACACTCAGTATTTGTTGTGGCTCAATTCATTTTAAGTTGAACCTCTTTGATGATAGATTAATCCTTAAACCTAAAGAATCCGCTCTATAATGTAAAAGAAGTCATCTTTTTGACAACTGAAATGACGATTTTAGTCACTCTGCTGCGCCAAAATCGCCCGTTTTCTCTATTATTATGCCGCTTTTTCTTGGCGCATTCATGCCTGATTAGTCCGCCTCAATGGCTCATTGATATGCGTAAATGTCCGACCGTTTCTCCCGATGTTTGGTTTCAAACTGGATACCATATATTACCATATCCATAAACGAAGGGAAATTAAATTTAAATTAAATGTAAACTTAACCAAAGTATTTATTTAGTAAAAGGGTGGGACGTTTCTGGAATGAGTGAGCATAAATTATCTTGACAAGTAGCAACTCAATTACAAATATAGACGATTTAACTGCGAGCAGAGCTATTTTATGATCCATCTGATAAGCGGGGTACAACTGGAATGGATTATTATCGCAAAAGTACTTACCCTTTGCCCTTTAACTGTGAAACAAGACAAAATGTTACCGTCGACGGCATGGAAGGGCTCACCGCTGCTGTTGGCCTGGGATGAACGGACGGATTGCCAACCGACCAAAAATCTTCCTAAGCATTATTTAACAATAGTAAGAACAAAATTAAAGAATCATCTTCAAGGAAGGTTTCTAAAATTTGTCTAGTGATCTTCTATGGATTTAAGACAAACCTTATTCCCCCAAAAAACTGGATATCAAATTATCATAATGAAGGACTTACGTTTATCTGTTTCACAGATCGTAAATCCAACGTAATACCGACGAGAACAAGACACCGAGATGAGCTTCCATTCAAGTGAAAACCATTTCACTAGCAAGCCACACTCTCCACTCCACAAAATATCGGGATACCCAGAATACCAAATGCTAGTTGAAATATTGCTGCCATCTAACCAATGCCACGTGCCAAACTTACGAATACCAAGAAATGCTTTGATGTTTTCATCTGGGTACTTTTTGGATATGTTAGTGAGATGGTTTGCGATAATTTTTCTTTGAATTTCAGATTCAACGACGGCAAGGTCACTTTCTAGTTGTTTGCACGACCAACGAGCCCAGTCCCATTCTCTGGTAAAGAACGTCCCCGCAAACACTCGAAAACATGATTCATTCACCTCGAACCAACCGGAATCACATGATGATCCTGTGAAACCAATCACGAATGTAACGTTTTGTAGGAGTGAGTATTTTGTCAAAAGATTAAGTCAACCTGATTCAATGATACTTGCGGTCAGGAAAAGGTATTTTTACAGACTATATATCTAGATGAATTTTGGAAAACTTTACCGCCAAAAAGACCCTTTCCGTGTGGCATTTTTTTTTTCTTCGTTCAAAACGTCTCCAAAATAAAACCTAAGAGTGCAATCATTGCATTTTTTTTCTATTCTTCTTCCTTTTTGCTCCTCCCTATTTTCCTTTCCTTTTCCTCCGCTAGTGTGATTTCCGGGCTTATCGAACGCAAAAACCCCTGTATTTTGGCCCTTTTCCATTCAAAAAGCTGCATATTTGGCTAGGTCCCTTTTAAAAAAAATCTGTATTTATAGTATCTATGAGGATTAATTATAAGTGACAACTAAAATTTATTATCCAACCTTTCTAAAATCCGTCCTCTCCTGATTTAATGTCACTTAAAAACTCCGTTTAAATCAGGCGCATGTACACTAAATTTAAATGTTATTGTTATTACCTGAGATGTTCTTTGGCTTCTGGCAGACAAATCCTTCTTTTGATAAGCAGTTTTGGTCGTTGATTCTCCAGCCCTTAGAATTCCACTTCTCTTCGAAAATCAGGTCCGTACACCAACCATCACCTGAAGGTTGTGAGTTTCCCCATAGTAACGACTGAGCTGGAAACGGTTGTTTTCGGACAGTAATCCAGCGCCCGTCACTGATAGCATAAGCGCCAACGAAAAAGAAACTAAAGTATCCTAGGTCCTCCACATAGTCATCGATGGACCTTGAAAATGCGTGCAGTTTGGTGGTATTTCCAAGAACAGGGAGTCTTCCTCCATGGTTTTGGCACTCGAACATGGCGTCTTCCCAGGAATGGTAAGATTTTATAATTATTCTAAAACATGACTCGCCCCAATTAAGCCAGCCAGGTGGGCATGCATTTTGTTCTGTCGGTGAAAAAAAAAATCAACAACAACAACAACAATAATATCGTCACACCAGTTTCTGAACAACTGATCAAAGCTTCAGGTTTTACTTGAATAATGATTCGTATGTTTCTTTTTTCGTAAGCCGCATAACTGGATATCTCGTTACCAGCCGGCGGTGGTATTAAGCTTACAGTTAAAAGAAAAACTAACCGTCTAATAATATTTGGAAAAGATGGGTTTTATGCCTAAGTATACAGACAACTTAGTATAAGTTCACTTATTAACTTACGGTCTAAAGACACATTTGCAAAGAAGTAATCTGTAACTGTTTCACGGCAGCAGGTATGGTAATCCATCAAAGCAATCCCGTAAGGTAATTCCTTTCCACGGTTCAGAAGCAATATTTTTTTGTAATGTGGCTGATATGTCCTTGAGGAAAAGAAGAAGTCTTGAGGGAAGCAACTGAGGTCGTCTAATGAAAGCTCTTGGGTGACGCTTTTTGCACAATGGACAGTGTTTGCTGGGTACACAAAGTACATCACATCGGTGGAACTGTTTTTTGTTTGAAGAGCATGAACGGTAAACTGATAGACCCATCCAATGTGAGCTGGAATTCTGTCCAATTTGAAGTCTGTAGCATCTTCCTTTATGAAGGCGTATAACGACTGGGTAACTGGAAAAAAGGAAAACATGTTAGAAATGACGTTTTAAAGTTTTACGAGGTTGATCCACCTTTGAGTGTCAATTGTTGTGATATTTCAAAAATGCAGTGAAAAATACTCGTGTACATACCAAGTCGTTCACAGGATCCATTTCTGAATACGATGTTATCTATGGCTACATCACTTGTAAAGTAAACGCCCCTTACTCCCTCCATTATAATCTATAGACATTAAACCGTTAAAATTAGTTACAAGAAATATTCTAATACGATTGTCGCTAACTTATATAAATTAGGCTACAAAAAAGCTGACGGAAAAACAATGCAGTAGTATACTGACCCAAGCACCCCATTGTGGGAGTAACTGCCAAACCATACTTATTTCTGATTGCGTTAATAAACTTTTATTGCCAAATCGGCAGTGATATCCTGGTTATCAGAATCCTTTAACAAAAACCTCGATTAGTGATGTCAAGCGTTGCACTTTACTGTCATTCAAATTTATTCTAGCAGTTATTGTAATAACTATGTTTATAACTGAGGAACAACTATAAAATCAAAAAACATCGTGCCCTTAATGAACGAAGACTGGATAATCTTGATAAATTTTCAATCGGTTTTCTAGCGGTTGTGTTGCAAGGTGTTAAGGTGCCCGATGTATAAATAATAGAAAGTTAATTCACACTGTCCTCCTAGTTTCGTATATCCTCTCATGTACTTCAGCCTGTGCAAGTATGATCGATAGGATCAACACCTTTTTATCTAAAAGCTAGAAAAGGTAGTAGTTTGATTGTCAATCTATTCTTTTATTTCACTTTACTTTGTTAAGGTATTCTGCCTCAAGATGGTTCAGGCAAGGAAAAAAATTAGATTAGGTTATAGCCCACTTTATTAATTCATCAATCAGATGGATTACCTGGTAGTGAGTTGAAGAATTGAGGAACATAACAGCTTCGAGCCATTGATTGGGGTGACTGCCTGTTTTAATCCATTCCACTGTTTCATTGCTGTTTGTTTTCATGTAGATTACCAAGCTTCCCATGAACCTTCCATACATATGATACATGAATGACATGCACTTTGCACCTTGCATTATAGGACTTAAAAGCCTAACGTTGTCACCATGTTGCCGCGGAAAAGATGCTTCAAGATATGCATACTTTCCATTTCCTGGAGATATTGGAACCAAAATATTCACTAAGTTGACGCTTTCGATTACTACATATCCATTGAGTTTAAGTTATTTTTAGAATACCAAGGAATCACAAAATAACTAACGATTTCAGAATTTTTGCGTGATACAGGTGTTACCTATTAACAAACTGAAGACACTCTAGCTGCCTTTAAAAGGCAGTGAAATGTAATGGCGAGTTCGTCTTATTTTTTTCAGCATTATAATTACACACTTTGTTATTTAATTTTGAGTTGAAATGAGTCACTGCTAAAAATAACTATCTTAAACTAAATCGGTCTCCCTTAAAATTAAAATGAACGTTACGAACTGTTAAACTTAACAAAGGAGTAGATTGTAAAATAAAAGAAATACCTGAAACATCAGAAAGAGGTCCTGTTCCCCAACTTGGTGTTTGCCCTGACCTTATAGTCCAGTTAAACTTCGCTTTTCCAGAGTTTTCATTTGCCCATCCGCAAAACGTGGAGTTGTCAAAATCGCAGTCTAGCACTTGACACAACGCAAATAAAAAAAGTGAATACTATGCAATAAGTCGCTGTAAATAAACTGATGCAAACTCCTTTATTCTTATCCAAAGTTAAGGAGGATCGAGCAACATCCCTGCTCAACAAAGTTTCGACGTCTTTAAGCTTTTACCTTATTTATCCAATTTTGCTGGGCAAGATGGGTTCTACATATTGTAGAACCAAAAAAGTGCAAATTTTTTTTAAGGCAGAGTTACGAAGGTTTAAATAACACCTCGCCTTAAGCTTCAAATACACGATATCTCCTTAAAACATCGTGGGTTTTGATTGGTCCTTCATTATATGAGACAAATAAACTTTTTAACAAAATGGTGGAAATCATGTTAAAATAGGTCAAAAAATGTGGCATAGCAGCGGGATCTTCAAAGTACTACAATGGGAGTGCTAAGCTCATTCCCCGCGATAGTTTATAATTTTGTCGGAATTTTCAACGCGCGTGACTCCCACGAGGATCGCAAGCCTAGCGACAGTTTTATTCATTGCCTAATATTCTCTTTGCTATAAGTCTATGAAAAATAAAATCGAGTTTGGATGGTGTCCTCCTTGACGTCATCCAGAGTGACGTCAAGGAGCATTGTGGGTTTCCAGGCAACCGATAGACTTGCTTTGCGAAGAGTCTTGCTTTGGTCATATTTCTATTAGTTTGTTTTTAGCGGCTGTTTTAGGAGTCGATAAGTGCTTTTTACGACAAATTTCGAAGACAAAAAGTACTTTTAAGAGAAAATGGAAGCGATTTGGATCATTAGCATTAAGATATAAGCGAAAATCGAGGTGACATAACACATATTTTGCTCGCAGACGAGTTTATACTGTATCGGCTTAGTTGGGCATTTGTTCTTTAAATGCGATGAAATGCGTTTAAGTTGGGCTTTTTACGGTCAAAACACCAATCATTCTCCTGAAAGTTTATGTTTGAATTCGTGTTTAAAAGGGCGCGCCAGTGGAAGTTCTACTGGGAAAGGCTTTAAATAAAATATTATCGCCTCTCTCATAGTATTGCCCCACCTGGCGTAGTGGTAACGAAAACGGCCCGGCGCGTAGAGGGTCCTGAGTTAAATTCCGGGTGGAGCCTACTTTTCTTTTCCCCTTCTTTTCTTTTTCTTTGTTCTTTTTCTTTTCGCTGTTTTTCTTCTCCTTTTTATTTATTCATTCTTAGTGATTTTAGTTTTGTTTTGTTTCTTTATACAGAGTAAATTTTTTAAATTTATAAAATTTCTTCCCGATTGCGTTATTTCCATTTCTTCCTACTTCTTGCCCTTGCCCCGAAGTGCTACGCGAGGTCCTGCGATTCACGTATTTCTTGTTTCAGCATAAACACGTCAAACACGGCAGAATACAAATTTGCAGCTACATTTCCATAGTTTCCTTAAAGCTTGCGAACTATAGAATATGACTTATAATTTTTAGGCTGTTAAAAAAATATCAGTGAAAAAATATCTGCGAAATGCCTCGTGGCTGAGAAGGTAAAATTACTTTCTCCGGTGTATGCCATGCGTAGTCTAAACCAAATAAGATATAGTTTATTATACAACGTGTTAAGTGCGCTTGCCTTTCAGGAAAAACGGCGAAACTCGCACAATCTGTTATTTTTAAGTAACGGTAAAATAAGTTTACCTGGTGTAAGAACTCACCTGAGGGTGCATAAGTCCGGCGTGCGGAGGATCGGTAAACCAAAACGTTAAAAAGCAGAAAAACAATAATAAGCCAGCTGTTGAACGAAGACATGCTGCTAACTTTTCTTCTTCTTTTTCTGTAGCAAGAACAGTTAAAGAAGTTCTCTCGATTGACAGGTGCCCTTACGAGCTGTTGAACGGACTGTGTTCACTGACATGCAAACAGAGACAGTCTTTATTGCATTTCGTCATGATTAGTAATGCAAATGAAGAACCTTCTGTCTGAAATTTTTTAATAATTTGGAATACACGCTGTTAGGACTTCCGCTGCCAAAATTGCCTAAACAAGCGATATTAGAACTCTGCTAGAAATAGAGTGGCATAAAAACTGTACGACTTGTTCAAGCTTCTTAAGGGGGAAATGAAGAATGAAATCGAGTTGTGGAATAATCATTTTAAATCTACTTAATAGAACATTATAGTCCAAAACGAATGATACAGTTTATTGAACATAGGAGTTAGTACTGTCTCTACAAATCGGTCACAAATATATTCTAATACAAAAATAAAACAAATGAAAATTACCAGAAGGGTGCATCAATAGTGACGTTACTGACGTGTGGCAGTTGAGATGTTTGTTCTGAAAAATTTTGCCAGATTGGCTTTTGCTATGTTAACTTGAATTTACGACAAGGTTCTAATTTTGGCTGTAGCTAGCATTTTTTTTTTTTTATTAGAGGTCAAATTATAAAGGTAAGGCTAGCTAGGGACTAGTTACTCCTCTAATATAATGGGTGACAAATTACGCCTCTTGTGCATTAAACGCTCTCTCTACGATGTTAATTTTGTATTAGAAGCCCTTTGTCTAGAAGACGCCCCCCAGGACATTTGATCCAAAAAAATAGGAATTAGCAAAAAGGAGCGAAAACATTCAATTTATTTCGCTTCTTGCTTGTTGAAAAAGGATTTGCCATGTTTGCGCATTGCATCTTTTCAAATGTCGAAAGACTAATGATGACAAAACAAGGACCCTAAACGAGCCGGCTACTGAAAAAGTAACATGGATTTGTAGAAGGCCTAGACGTATCAATTACAATACCATAATTAGCATACTGACAGAGGAACGTTGTTACACAAACACTTTAGCACGAACAGAGTCAGTTTGCGCCTTGAGGGATAGTTATTTTAAAGATCCGAATGAAAGCATCTCTGTGATGAGGCAGTCGAATTCTGTGTGGCATTTTGCAAACACGTCGAACTGCTCAAGAAGGCACGTTGGTGTTGCAATATTGTGTTTATTTAAAAAGTGTTTGCATACGGAAGACGATTTCTGCTTGTGACCATTAATGCTTTTACGCAGACGGCGTCTACCCCACATGTCGTGATTGCTAATTATTTGAGACCCGCAACTCTTTAAGAGCCGTTGTAAGTAATTATTGAGAATCCGGCGCTAGAAAAAAAAAATGGATTTCCCCCGAACAAGCACCTTTTGGTAAACTTTTTTAAAACAATATTTAATAGTTCCAACGAGATCCCGTTTTTGCGAAAAAATAGGAAAGTTTAAAATCGGCGTAATCCTTGTCAAAGGCCCGATGGAAATTATGGAAATTAGGGCATTTTCAAAACGCTGGTACGAAAAAACGAGAGCTTGTCTATATTTCATCTTTTCACGGTTTCAAGCTATATTTTATCTTGATCTTCACTTCTTTTCTATTTCTTCCACCCGAGCAACGAAAGCAATGCAACGTTTCGTGCTTTGTTATCACCAATTTTTTTTACCATATTTCATATTTCAGATGGTTATAACATCATGAGTCTATAAATTTAGCGGCTGTGAAAGGAATCTCTTAAAAGAACCATCCTTCCTGTTTGTCATACTAAAAAATTCACCGCTAATCAACTGTATATCTTCTCTCTTTCTCTTTCTCTTTATTTTTTTCGGTTTGAGGTGATGTGCAATAACATTCCATAATAATTAGATGTGTCATTATACAAGAAAACTTTTCTGTCTTTTGTTTAATTTAAAGGTAGTTTAATTAAGATAAATTGGAAGGCTCACACCTGTCTGAACAAACGTAGAGGAATAAGTATAGGAATACATTACGTTCGACTTTATTCTATTTGTATTAAAATGGGTATGATCAGTTAAACTCCTTTTTTTCCATTTTTGTCTTTTGTGCATGTGTTACTTGAGTTTTATTTTTTGGGGGGCAGACGTTGATCACTGGAAGTTATAATTACCAATCGAGGTCCTCTTTCAAACACAATATACATTTCGGAGAAGCGATTAAAAATACAAACAAACAGCATAACATTAACCTCCATATTATTTTTCAGTGCAATTAGTGAATAACATCAGACAGAAATTTGCTGGCATATTTTGGGAGAGAAAGTATTTAAATTTTATAAAACAGTTTGAACTTTCACGAAAAGTGAAGGGAAACTTCGAAAGCGACTCACCCAATCATCTTTTGAAGAAGGCACGACTGAAAATAGCGCCATACGACCGATACTATAGCTTCAGAGACATTCTCACTCAATGAATACACACACCGAAAAGGAACTCATCTTTGCATCGGATTTTAAATAAACGTAGGACTTAAATATGGGACTAATACCTCCACGCAAGAACATTATTTTTCGTTATAATTCTGTTTGCGAGTTGTTTTTTTAATGAAATGACCCACCCTCCGCACCCTCCCCTCGATAATTAAAAAAAGGTGACCCACTGCATGGGCGACGGGGAAGGAAAGCGTGATCCGTCCTCCTCCCTCTCCGAGGGTTGTCCAATACACTCGCACTTTAACGGTCCGTATAATCCACTGTTTGTTTCTTTTAATTT